ATTTGATACAGAAAAACAGTGCTAACTTAAAACATCTTTTTAATAAATACATATAATGAACAGCGTTGGGTAGTAACTAGTTACATTTAATCAATTACATTTACTTGAGAGACTTTTTTGAAAAAATTCCTTTTAGGAGTATTTTTACTCTGTACTTTAAACTTTTACTTGAGTAACTTCATTATGAAGTATTTCTGCTCTTACTTTAGTAAAATTTCTGGATTTTCTACCCACTGAATGAAAAATAAACATGTTTTAACCAAAAACTCACCAGACACAGAGATACACTTGCAGGTTTTGTTAAAGTTTTATAAGTTTTTTGTTGAAAGAAACTGATTTCATTTTATTTGGCCTGATTTTATTATTTTGTTACTTATATGAATTTTTGTCATTTTGGTCCTTAAAATACCAAAATTTCCACATAACTTTATATTTTTATCCATCCAATGATGTAATTTTTAAATATTAAATGATTGATAATTTGATCAGTTACTCAGTACCTGAGTAGATATTTTACTAAACACTTTTTTACTCGTCAGTAATTTATTGGATGGCTACTTTTTACTTTTACTTGAGTAAAGATGTAGTGCTTCTCTTACTTGAGTACAATTTTCATGTACTGAAATACACATTTATCTGACATCCCTGCACCAGTGCAGCTCACTTAAACACAGAAATAGCTTCACAAACTCAGCCAAACATGTAAAACAACAAAGCCTTAATTTGTTCAGACAGCGGAGAATAACAAGAAGATAAATAATAAACTGAAACAGACAAAAGCAACAAGTTTCATATGGTTCAGACAGTCCAATTAGGAATTGTAAATTTGATGTAAAATACATCACTCAGAGAACAAAGCATAGAATTACAATGAATAGATCTGTTCTTACGGATCGGGCACATTGCCAGCAATCTAGAATATTTTTCACTATGTAGATTTTAATATCAGATTGGATCATCTTTATATAAAATCAGTGAAAATGTGAAAAACAAATCCACATTGTTGATCTGAACGACGGACCTTAAAGCAGATTAGAACCAGATTGATTATCTCCTGTAATAATGTGAGGTTGGGGAGAAGAAACAGCAAAATAAGAACTAATAACAGCTTCCTGCTGGAGGTGGAACATAATGAAATTGATCATTCCCCTTGAAATTGGCTCCTTATGAAAGCTTCCCTGGACTATACGTTACAGCAAAGCAGGGAGAAATATGCTTGCTGCTTTAAAGTACTCGTCACATATGCATGAAGCGAGGATAAACTGGGGAATGGACCGGAGTGTTTTAAAAGGAAAGGTGCAAAATATTCTCCTAAATTCCAACAAGAGACATCTGATTAAAATTGCATGACTTGAGCCTGAGGTGGGGGAAAAATATAATCAGTGAAACAACTCTCGACTGCCAAACCGGTGTCCAGAGGCGCGCATGGAGAAGTGAGAATATTTCCATCCAAATCTCAGGAGAGCTTGCTGATGTTCATGAGACTTTTACACTGAAAGCACCAGCGCTTTCTGCATGAGCTACACTGGGATGAATGAGTGAAAAATCACCCACACATCCAAGAAAATCAATGGAATATGAAAAACAAGGAGATGAAAATATTTATTTTGGTACCTCGGGTCTGAAGGCCGGGTCCGCACGTCTCCTGAGCGCCTGGGGTTTCCTTTCTCAGAACCCAGGGAACCAGTTGGCACTTCCTCCACTTGTGAGTTTTCCACCTGAGAATAAAGTTCAGTCATGACTGATTTACAGTTGAAGCTGTCGCACAAAAGATTTCAACATTTTAAGATACTTTTTAATAAAGTTTATGATGCGCATTTCAAGTTACAAAGATGTTTGTAGAATTTCATTAAATTTTTATCAAATCTATGACCAAAGCCATTTTTTTAAATAAATGTAACTTGTAATTCTCTGATGAATGTTGTGTTTTGGAATAAATGCTGGCTGATGGTGATAATTTATCGTTTCCTTGCTGCTTGAAGTCGATCAAAATGTTTCTTCACATGGTTTTTATGAATTTACCAATAGTTCCTGATAAGGTTAGGATCTGTTTTCCAACATTAAAATATTAAATCTTTGTATGTTGGGTTTTTCCTGCAGGAACGTTTTCAAAGAAGCTGGGAATTTTCTGGCGCTTTTCTTTTAGCTCTGTTGTTTCCACTGAACTGGGAAAATTGTATTATTGCATTAAAGGAAGTAGATTTGTAGCTTGGTGACGTTTTTCATCAGTTTTAACAAAGATAATGAAACATCTACATTTTTCAATGTTTTGCAACCCAGTAAATCCTAAAATCTAAACTTGAAAAAACCCTGCAAAAACACAACATTTTACCAGGTATTTTGTCTACTTTCTAGTGCAAATACCTTAGTACAATGGAAATAAGAGAGAAGTAAATGACAAGTAACTTTTCAGCAAAATAAAGGAGCTGGTTTCACCTTAATAATTCCTTGACATTGATGGAAAAATACTCGTTACGCAGGCAGATTATTACAGATATTATGGCGTTTCTCCCATGTCAGTAAAATAATCTGCCTGTGAAACTGGAATGTTTTCATCAAGATTAAGGAATAACTGACTTAAAACAAGCTTCCATATGTTGCTGAAAAGTTACTTCTGAATTAGTTTTGACTTATTTCAAGTGAGCGAAGGTATTTGCACTAGAAAGTAGACAAAATACTTGGTAATATTTTGTGTTTTTGCAGTGAAAGCAGAGAAACTTCTGTTTCTCGTCAGCACTTAAGTCTTAGAACAGGCTTATAAGTTAACTTATTTAGTTCAATTATGTTTTTCTAGGAAGATAAACCATTTATCCTAATTTTCCAGTTTAGCAGTGGATCAGTTAGAAATGGAAAACCCATAATTTTTCCAGGATTTTTCCTGTATTGTTATAAATATGGAGTGTTTTATGTTGTGAATTTAAAATTCGGAATTAAAGACGGAAGGTACAATCTGGGAGGCAAATGTAATAAAAATGTAAGCAAATTTCATTTATGTAATTATTTCTGACATGTTTTTAAAACCAGTAAACAGCTGGACAGAGAAAACATGTGCAGTTTGTTTAGTATGAACTAAAAACACCTGAAAGTTCCCAGTGTTACTGTAAGCGGCGGTGCTTGTACCTGAAGCCGGGACAGACTTTGGGGACCTCGCAGTCCCTCTCCTCTTCAAGCACCAGCGGGCAATCCTGTCCTCCATTAGAAGGAGTCTGGATGACCAGACGCCTCCTTGATTGCTTTCTCTTCACAGCTTCACCACCTGGACAGAATCAGTGGGGTAAAAACAGGGAAAACGCTGGACCTGAGAGTAAAGATAAGAAAAACGGAGAGCAGGAGCGCCTCTGTAAACTCTGATTGGACAGCTGTCTTATGCGTCCCTCACACCTGATTACTTACAACAGCAATGATACATTAAATTAAACAGTTAGGCTGTGTTAATGACCAGGATTACCTCTGTGGTATTTATTGTGCCTGATGCGCTAAAGTGTCTCATTAAGATCAAACGACGCTCTAAATCAGGAGTGCTAACTCTTTTCTAGCATGCGAGCTAACTGTAAAATCACCAGTTATGATCTAGCTACTAGGAAAATGCAGAAAACATATCAACAATTCTTTATTTGTGTCATTCTGAAACTCAGTAATAATGAAAAAAGTACTAGGTCCACTGGCAGATTATTTCATTAATAATAAGAAAAAACTGCCTTGTGAGTGAAATGATAATCTGCCAGTGGGACTTTTTTCCCCAGTATTAAGGAATTATTGACTTAAAACGAGCTCCAATATTTTACTGAAACGTTACTTGAGCATTAATTTTGTCTTATTTCAAGTGCACAAAGATATTTGCACTAGAAACTAAACCAAAATGACTTGGTAAGATTTCTTGTTTTTGCAGTTCATGGTTTTGTCACATTTAGAAAACAGCACCAACTTTCTCAATGGGATGAATAAAGACAACAACAATAAGCATGTTAAGAGGCTAATATTTTCATTTCAAGATGCGTATAATATTTTTTTGTGTTATTGTGGGGACAATTTCAAGTCTGTTAAATGTTTTGGAAAGTTGGAGAAGTTGCTGTAAATAGTACTAATATTGGCAGCATACATGGAAAATATAGAAGTAGAGATTTATGCCACCAAACTCCATACAGACAGTAACCATCCTAAGCTACAAATCTGTCTTGCTGCTTGTAGAAGAACCTGGACGGAGGCAGACCTCAGCTTTCACAACATGAAGACAATAACACTTGGTAGGTACTTCCTGACACTTGTGGCCCCAGGCAAGCAGAGCTGCTAGACGTACTAAAAGAGGTCAGCCCAAAGGTTGTCTCTCACGCCAATCTGTCACATTAACTATGTTTAACGAGACGTGAGCGAGGCAGCGAACGTCTGAGGCTCGGGTTGAAGAGTCCAAACCACGCAGCGTTTAAACCTAAATGACTTCTTTAAAAGGTCATTGGGATTGTTTGCGTTTGTTTTGTGTACCTGAATCGCAGGAAACCGAACACTCAGTCCAGTCGCTGAAAGGAGTCACGATGCAGTCCTTCTTGCAAGGCAGCTGACACGGTCGCATCGTGCTTGGGCGCGGGCCTTCAGGACACCTGAAACACAAAACACACACATAATTAGGGGCACTTATTGATTAAAACTAGTGCACTGCAAACACACAAAACTTTACCAAGTATTTTTGGTCTAGTTTCTCGTGGAAAAACCTTGGTACAGTTAGAAAAAGACTAAATTAACTCATAAATAACTTTTCAGCAAGATATAGGAGCTTGATTAAAGTCAATAATTCCTTCCGTTGGCAGATCATTACATTTATAAAATGGGGAAAATGTCTAAGTGAAATAAGAGAGCGGTGAGCAGCTTTTTGCCCTCCAGCGGCAACATGGGGGCGGGATCCTGTGACGCTGCAGAGAGTCCATATATAAATGGATTTAACTATCAGTGAGTAATAATCCCTTTGAACCTACAGAATATGGGGTCAAGCCAAGGTTTTTCAGGCCAAGGGTGATGCTTAATCTCCCATCATTTAAGTACCTTAGGTCTCCTGCGCGTACCACTGGAACAACAGAAATGGGTCGTGATAGACCTGCTGGTAATCCCATCTCTGTGATCCAGTCCAACCGGTCCGGCAGCGGCAGGCCGTCCTCACCTGGGCCGACTCCGCCGTCGTCTGGGTCAGGGCTAACATTACTAACGATCAGCGCTCTCCTCTCGGCGTTCTGCGCTCGTTAACGCGCCATTATCGGCGGAACAATAGCGAGCCTGGCAGGCAAACTGCAATAATGTACAGGCAACACCAGGAGAGGTTTATTTTTAATACCAATAGACGGAGCTAAATCCCTCTCAAGCAGAACAAATCCTCGCGTGTCTTCATAAAAGTGAATGGTCCAAACGAAGTAAACAGCTGCCGGATGCAGCGGAGCAGCTAGATTTTCTGCATTTGCGGAGACTCTTGCACATAAAGAAGCGAGTAAACGTGTGTATTTCTGCAGGTTATTTCAGACACAAGCGTTGCTATTTGGACCCAATGAAGCAGAAAGACAGATGTCCCAGAATTCAGTCTGTTTGGTTTACATCCTGGGATCTATAAAGTATACACGAAGAAAAAAAGAAGAACAAAATACTGAATAATCATATAAAAATCCTGCATATATCTCGTGGCACCTCGCCATGGCAACATAAAAGCTGCCATAACTTCAGAATCAAGTTGCTTTTAAAATATGTTAAAACAATGTAAAGTGAATGAGATATACATAAATAGCCTATATTTGCACACTAACTATAGTCAGAGCTTAAATGTCATGAAATGTTAAAATTTACTTTATTTTGAAAAACCAACACTGCTAGTTCCTGCCTGACGGCCGGTGAAGTTAGCTTCTGTGCTGCTTTAAGGAGTGAAGCAAAACTCAACGTCAGCTTGAGGAAAAGAAAAGGCAAAATAACTTTTCACAAAGAAGGTTAAGTTGAATTAATGTTTAGTTCAAACCTGTGAAAACGATAATAAAGTCAACTGCATTTTGAATGGCAGTAATTATTTAATTAATACAGTTTGGTCTTTGTGCGTAATGCTTCAGATACATTTCGAAGGCTCCCTTATTATCTAAGTATCTAATCATCAGCGTCGTGTCTCCACTTAACCCTTCATAATTTTAAATATTTAAAGGATTGAGTTCATTTTTTGTTCTGCAACTCATAAGACTTAAAGGTGACCTATTACATTTCCCTGAAAAGGTTGGGATAGATACAAAACATGCTCATTAATCTTTTTCTGTGAAATCATTTTCAGATAGTGAGATTTTAGTCTGATCTTGAGTTTCTATCAGAATGAGCTGTTTTAGGGCTAAATAAGCTGCTGGTGGCCACGCCCCTTCAACTCACTGTTTACACTCGCATGTGAAAATAGTTGCAAACAGAGCTACAACTTTGAAACCGTATATCTTTGAAAAGCAGAAGTAGAGCCTCCTGCACAACCAACAAGAATGCAACAAGTGGTTTCTGAATGGTAAGCCAACTAAAAAAAAAAAAAGCACTCTTTTTTTCCAGCAGCCATTCTACAGCTCATACAGCATTAAAGCAAGTTGACCAAACATGCAAGAGCTTAACTGGTGTTGCTAGGTGACAGGCAGAGCTTTGCTGGGGTTGCTCGGTGGCAGCGTAGTTCCAGTCAAATGTGGCTCGTTTTATAGACACTAATAGACATGAACTTATTGCCAGAAAACAGTTGTGTGTGTGTGTTTTTTTTAAACTGCTTGGGTTGTTTGTTTTTATAAGCAGTTGAGACCAAAGTGGAAATACAAAAATGTGAAAAATGTGAAATTTGCATATTAGATCCCCTTTAATACGCAGGCCTTAGAGAACGAACAGATGTTTTTCACAGATTTCACCTACTTGGCGTCTCCTTTCCATCTCATGTTCTTCTGAGGCTTTCAGGAAAACAACAGTATCGACTGTGGGGCTAAAAGCCTCAAAGTGCATGTATTTACTCAAGTCTGTGTGATTTATGGGGCCTTTAGTGAATCGAATCTTGAACTAGCATCACTCCAGGCAGTCAAAGTTTCATAAATACTTAATCAGCAGGAATTAAAATCAGTTTCAGAACAAACCATATAACATTTGGGTTTATGAGTTAAGAAGATGACTAATAATCTCTGTTTAGAGTTTCTTTTGTTAGACTTCCAGGTCCTTAGTTGTAGATGCCACATAATGTTAGTAATTCTAACTTTATTCATTCATTATTCAGAGGAGAAGCCAAATAAAACCATTAACTAAACTCATTCAGTCCATCTTTTCCTGTGATTATATAAAATTACTGAAATAACAATAAATGCAGGATTAAAAGCGTTGCTATGGAGCTCAATTTTACTGAATGTGAAGCTGAGGCCGTTAATGGGGAAGTAGGGGGAAAATAAATGAGCATTGAAGTGAACTTTTTGTTTTATTTAAAGCCTCATAATTATTTCCCCCTTCATCAAATCAGGCTCTGCCACTTTTTTAAAAAATCATGTGTTTGGTTGAGCAGACTCTTTAATAAATTTAAGCTTATGTGTGGGGAAAACGTGAACTCATTTTGTGCTCACATTGCTTCTTACATGTGATATCATGGTTACTCATTTCATGGAAAATCTCCAAGCAAAAGCTGTTTCTTTAACAGAGTTTTACTTACTTTTTAAAGGTATTTTATAATTTTCTCCAGGTGTTTTAACTATGTAAAACAAAGTTGAGTAAGGCAACTACATGAAGCAAAATTTATCATTACGTCTTCAGACAGTACTCATGATGAAAACCTCTAACGTTTCTGTAAGCATATGATTGAATATGGGCTAGAATGGGAAAATAGCATGATGTTAAATTACAGAACTTAGAATGACATGGAATAAAAACACAAATAGCTTGCCATATTCATATTAATATGAGGCCACAGTTCCAAACCTCCTCAATTACGACCCCCATATATGGAGAAACCTGAAGTTTGTACCTTTCCTGTGGAAACTAGCAGGCGGTTTTTCAGGGTGACGTCGCCATGACAACACATTCTTGGATTAGCTTGGTGTGGCTTGCTTTGGAAAGTAAAAATAATTCATTTATTATCAGAAAATTAAAAAAAAATAAAAAAATTAAATAGCTTCTTCGGGATGAGACTTGTCATTGCACTGATACAAATACACACGCTAATGCTATTGCTACGCAACATGCTAGCAATTCCTTATTCTGATTGCTGAGCATGAGAGTCAGTAAATCCCACTTGTCTTTCTGATTTGCAGCAGTAACAAGTTAAGTCTGACATTCTTTTATCTGAGTACAGATTTATAAACCAGGTGTACTATTGAATGTAATGTATTACCTAAATCTTTAAGTGTTACATATTGCTGTTTGTAAAACTTTTATATTAGATTTAGGGATCTTTATTGGAATTCGTACATTTATTTGCAGTATTTGTGGCCTGTTCTCCTTTTTTCCTCTTAATTTATTATTATAACCTTGCTATAGAAGATGAATATTAAAGAATTTTATGCAGAGGCACAAAAACCAAACCAATGTTTATNTCNANAATACAGCAACAACCAGAATATTTGGAGCATGAAGCTCTCTGTGGGGATGTGAAGCTATTTGTATTAATGTCATCAATGAATTTTTAATTACATTTCCATTCTACCATTGTGTTTTTTTCTTTTCTTTGTGCCTTCTTTTGTTTGTGAAAATCGTTAATCTTTACTTATCACGCTGTTTTTGCTGTTTGTATATGGAGCTTGGGAGTGTTTCACCTCAGCGGCGCCATTTCTTTTTCTGTGTCACTTCCCTTTAGCTTAAAATGGGCTGCACTTCAGTGATCCCAGAAACAGCAACTGGTTTTAACATCCTCACTGGTTCCAGTAAGCAATACAGCCACAGAAGGATCCTCAAATGTCACCATTTGTAGAAACACAAACAAGATGTCTTCCATTAATCGGATCTATTCAACAAGAGCCCATTTTCTGAAATGACTAAGTAAACGGTTGAGCTGGATGAAGGATACAGATTTAAGGCAAAGAACTATAAGCAGTTCTAAGTGTACACACATAAAAAGAAATCCTGCTGGGAGCAGATAAGGCTAATTAATTTCATTATCAAAATTAGGGACTACAAAACAAGAACATGCTTTGTTTAATTTAAGATGAATCAGTCACGGTTCTTCAAGGACGAGTTCGCTGCTGTCTTTTGGTCTCAGGAGTTTTCAGCAATGCCAGAAAACAAACACAGCCTCAATTAGACAAGATGGCTCACAGAGTTTAAGACTGATGCTGTCAAAATGCATAACCACGGATCATTCAGTCTCCGCTTTCACAAATTCCAACGCGATTACACAAACGCCCATTTGGTCGCAGTCGGCACACAGACTGTCACAATCAATAAGCCGACATTGTTGTTTTTTACCCCCTCAGACAATAACAGCTTTCTTGATAGGATGATAGCAGACCGAGCCTGAGGCACTGACATATTTTTCTCTGTTGTGTCCCACGTTTCTATTGGGCTTTGACAGTCGGGATGTGTGTGTGTGCGCGTGTGTGTGTGTGTGTGCAAGGCAGACATGCCCCGAGGCGGCGGGGGGTAAGGCAGC